CTGCCCTTTATACAAAGAAGAGGAGGGTTTCATATATCTAGCTGGTGATAAATGCATAAATCTCTCTGAAAGAATACAGGAGAAAAATAATGCCCCAATAATGATGATGATAATGTTTAAAATCTAAATTTAAATTATTAATGAAATGTGAAAAATAGCTACATATTTATAAAAAATAGTGAGTTTTGTGCTACATTAGACCACTGTGTGCTTTCATAGCATATTGATTGTTTTTCTTATGTACTTAAAAAAAAAACCTCAAACCAATTCTGCTAATTAAGCTCTCCTTGGCCAGGAGCTCACTTGGATCTCTGACAGTTCCTAGTTAAAGCCCAGTTTGTGGTTTTTGACGGCAAACCAAGACCCTCTTGTCTGCTTCAGGAAAACTGGCTGGTTTTCCTCCCTGGCATTATTCTGTGGGTATCCTCATCCCAACAAGTCACCAATTGTCTTTACCATGACTTATAGTTGTGCCAGATTTTTTTTTTGGTCACTTTTGCTTGAGACAGTAATACCAGTGATAAAATTTTTCTTAATTTGGCTTTAGTTTATGACAGATAATCTTGAGACTAGGAATAGGTTGTGTCGTGAAATGATCATATAGGTGCAAAAGCAAGTCAATCAAGATGTCTGGATGAATATGTGCATGTGTTGTGGTATATGTTTTAATTTTTCTGTGTATTTCTTGTTAATTAGTCTATATAGAAGCTAAAAGTAACATAGAAAAATAATATTTTACAAAATGAAATGTCTAAAGTGTCCTTTTAAAAAGTAATGGTACTTGATCTGGATTAAATTTAGCATTTCTTGCAATTTTGTTCACTTTCTAACATGTCTAGAAGCAAGAAATGAGACTGAGTCAAAGATGTTTGGAACTTGTATTAGTAAATCTATCTCATTTCCCTATTCCTATCTCCTTATCAGAAAAGAAATGGTCTAAATATTTTACATTTGCTTCATACAGAATTAGAAAGACTTTTCATAGTATTTTGATTTTGAAAATGTATTACCCAAAGTAGCTGCTTGTCATATCCCTTACCTCTTTATAGAACCTCAAACAAAGATGGAAAGGAAATGACAAACGTTGTAAACCTAATAATTTTTCCTGGTTCTCTGTGTATAGTCTCTAGTAGTGTCCCTGAACTAAAACTTTCAGTCTGTGACCTTGAGAAACCCAGAAAGGAAATAGAAACAGTAGAGAACAGAAGGTCATCCTTTCTACCTCTGTCCAAAAAAGGGTATCAAATATTCATCCTCACAGGTACATGTCTTCATAATTAAGGCAGATGGAGACTAAAGCAAAAGCAATTCAAAATGGGGGTGGGGGCACACGAAAGCAATAATTTTGAATGTTTGACATTTGTTTTGAAACTACCTTACTACCCTATACCCTTTACCATCTGTCTGTTATCCCTCCCAACACCCACCTCTGTCTTCCCACAGGGCTCCATTGTCTGCAGTTCCTGTTTCTCAGGGGCGGAGCTGTGGGAGGCAGCCATGGGTGCCATAATAGGCACCTGCGGCCAGCACAATGGGCTGTGGGTGCTTGTGGGAGAGACAGATTGATGTATTGTGCATGGGGGAGGAGGGCTGTCACTTGAATCCATGTGAACCCAGGCTTTAGGGGCAAGGGAGATTGACAGCTTTTGTAGGTTGCATTTCTTTTTCAAAGCTTGGCTTTAATAGACAGTAAGTTTGGGGCCCCAGGCTTTCACTCCCATAATTCTAACAGGGCAATCACGAGCATTCAGCATTTCTTTTTACCCCCCTTGTTCCGCATTAAATGATTTCAGTAAAGGAATGTGCAGCATTAATTAGAATTTGTTAGCAGATACCAAGGGGAAAAGTTTCTTCACAACAACTATAGGAGGTGTCATTTGTACAAAGACTTTTTTGTTTTCTTTCCCCATTACATTATCACTGCAATATGTAAGGTAGTGATTCTTTTCATTTAAATTAAGTGGAAAGCTACTAAATCTTGTTTTATTCTCCAAAAAGAATAAGGTCCTTAACACTTATCTTTTAACTTCTTTCATTTCCTAAGGTTGGTGTTTACTTTTGCTTTCAGTCCAACCCATTTACTGGTCTGTGAGGTTGTGTATCCAGTTTTGTGTACCATTTAGCTCTTACAATTGCAGGCAGCCCACTGTACTGATATCTAAGGATTGTTTCCAGGTAAAAATAGCCACAAATAATATTGGACATCATTGATATACCAGTCCCCTTTCAGTAATGTACATTGAGAAGTGCCAAAAATTAGAGTCTGTTAGCTTGGTATCCTAATGTTTTCAAAAACTATGTTTCTCCAGTTGCTATTTAACCTTATATGGAAGGATGGGGCAGTGGCCAAGGAATGTTTTTTTCCCCATAGAAAACTCATTCCTTAGCTATGTGAATTTTTTAAACACCAGTGTCACACACACATAGATAGCATCATTTTCTTACAGTTAGTTAAAATGAGCTCTTTGTTTTGTATCAATTTTTGTATTCTCTGACATTTCAGGTTATCTGGATGAAATCCAGTCTCAGATATGGATGTCCTGTGAGCATGCTCTTTGGTGTCTGAGAAACTGATAAAACATTAACATTTTTGATGTGACTCTTCTAACACCTCCCCTATATAAAACCATTTCCTCCCCAAAGGAAGGAGTTGAAAGCTAACTGAATTAGAATTTTTCATTTAATTGTTTTATTTAAATGTGTAAGGGTCAACAGTGAAAAATATTGATTAGTTGTATCCTTAATTCCCAGAGAGAACATATTCCCACAGAGTTACCTAATTCTGTCTATAATAATAATTTGGTGCAATGGCTTTAAAAGTAGTGGGGTGATAATAATTAGGGTGTGTGACAGAAATTTCAGTGCTGGATTCAACATTTCACCATGCAGGGCATGAAAATTGCCGAGTGGGGGCTAGTCAGTTCTAAGTACTAATTAACTAATTAATCAGGTGCTGAAACCAAGTGAATGGAGGATACCAGCCAGACAACTCAAGCCCAAGGAGAGGGCTGCAGTCTTTAAAAGACACTGCACTCTTTCTTCTTGGTTTTTAACCCAATCAGAAATGGGAGGGGGGGTGTTATGGTGAAAGCTTTTCACTTAGACAAAATAAAATAAAAGCATGTGCCTCCGATAATAGCTGTAAGGCACCCTGAGTAGGGCTGTGGCCGATTCTTCAGCCAAGAAATGTTCTTAGGTCTGGTGGGGGCTGGAGGTAAAGAGAATTCTGCCTTCCTGGGGCTTACTTCTATAATACATAGATAATTTTTTTTTAACATAAGAGAATGAGAAACATGTCTCTTTTGGGGAGCTGATCTTAGGTCTTTTGCCTCATCCTTCGTTTATGTAAATGAGAAGAGTCCAATTACACATATGGAAAAAAGGTTTAATGAATCGTGAAAAGCCCGGTTTGCAGAGAAAGGGCACAATCTCTCCTCCTTTCCCCCCCTCCTTCTCCTCCCCCCTCCTTGCCCTCCCCCTTGTCTTTTACATTTAACTTAGAAACATGTATTTCTTTTAAGGATGATGATAAAGCCTAATGATTTGATCATTTTATTTTACATATTTTAATACTTCAGAATTATCAAATATTTCTTAGAAAATTGAAATTTATATTTGTAAGGCTTTCTGGATACTTAACAAATACTCTGAAACAGAAAGTACAAAATTATGACTTTCCTTCCCTAAATTTGAAAAAAATGGACTACATGTCAGTTCTTCCCCTTTTTGATGTTACTCTTGGCTCAATTTTAATTTCTTTTGTTTGTTCTGGAATTGTCTGTAGTGAAAACGGATTGCAACGTTATATGGAAATTTATATTGAATGCAAAGAAAAGACTATAGTTTCCCATACCTTTGTAGCTTAGTTTGGTATTGCATTTTAACTAACTGGAATTTTAGGGGGTTGGAAATTAGGCAGTTCTTATTTTACTTTCTTTCCAAAAGGAATCTGAATTTTGCGCTACAGTAGAAAATTCTGTTTGAGCTTTCTATTTTTCTTCTCCGTTTCTTAATGTTGGGGTATTGAGTAGTGGAAAGTGGACCACACAGAACCCCTCCTCCATCCCAATTTTTTAAATGACATAAACCTTTATTAGAAGACTAAGGAAATCAGTGCCATGTCTGGTCATCCTTCTCAGAATTTGGTTAAGTATGCAATAGCCCCAAAGAAGTATTGTGCAAGGACAGCAGGGGGCTTCTCAATCCCTAAGTTCAAGTGCTTCGCACAGACCTTAAGGTGCTCTAACAGACACCTGGTCCAACAATCTCACTGGGCACTTGAGGAAGCTGAGGCCGAGGAGGGGACACTTTTCTAGTGTGACCTTTTTATCCCTCTACAAAATACTGTCTGATTCATGCCACACATGTTTTTTTCCTACTGTGGAAGACATTGTCAGAGTCCATATCACCTCTCTAGTTCACGGAAGGGACAGGTCTTTCCACTCTAGCCCTCAGCTTCCCTGGATGTGACAGACACCATGAAGTTGCCCCATAATCATCTGTGGCAACACGGGATGTAAAATCTCATCAGCTCATTTGGATGAAGCCGACAAGTCCCCCCCCCAAATGTGTGCAGAGGGAGCCCCCGCATTAGGCGAGTGCGGCGTGGAGGCAGCGCTGCAGCGGGCCACCTCTGAGCCTTGAGTGCGGCAGGCGCGGCGCTAGCGAGTGCTGGGGCGGAGCGGCCAGCCCAGG